CACACACACACACACACACACTCACACACACACACACACACACTATAATGCACAGCTTTTACATTTTTTATATTTATTAAAATAAACTGTAAAACATATGTAAAAAATGCTACTTTTCACTACCGAATGGGCTCAAATGCAAAATATGCCATAATTTAAACGGGTCCTATTATGCTCTTAAGTCTTAGTTTTGTTTTGGGGGTGTACTAGAACAGGCTCTCATACAGGTTGTTCGAAAAACACATAATTTTTTTAAAGTAGCATTTTTTACATAAGATTTACAGTTTATTTTAATAAATATCAAAAATGTAAAAGCTGTGCATTATAGTTGACACCTAGATGAACAGTTTACAGTTGTTTTTATGACTGAAAGTCATTCTCCTCAAATGCTATTGACGTTAGAAAAGTGTACACCAATATCGCATGTAACTTTAGAGACGGCCCCTAAATTTGCGAATATCGAACATCGAACGTCCAGCCGACTTTATGCCAGTCACACCAGCCGGGTTTCCATCCAAATCTGCGAATTTAACTTGTGCGCAAAATTGGAATATCGAATTAAAGTGTCCCCGTGTCAACAAGCTTAAAAAGTCTTAAATCTGATTATAAAAATCATGCAGACAAATGTAGCTTTGCACACTGCCATCTAGAATGATTTTGATCAGCATTTTAGTGTTCATAGCAGTGGACTCTCTCAACTTGTTGTATTGTACAGTTTGTCGATGGATATAAGGTTTTGTAGGCTTTGCACAGACATGTGCACCCCTAGAAAGCCTGAAACTACAGAGCGATGAAAAGACCAAATTCGGTATACAGTTTATTAAGAATATATACTATGTACAGACAACGCTCTAAACTGCCCGTTGCATTCAATATGGAATTTGGTCTTTGTCCATCACTGTCCGTCTTAAGCAGAATGTTTGCCACGTGACTGTGAGAGCTGCTCAGCTAAATAAAACTGAGACTAATGTGTAATGTGGGAACAGGTTTGTGTCGAGCCATCCGTTACAGTCTGTAGCTCAATGAGAAAGCGAAGAAATGTATTTGCAATAAATCTGCTTTAAGCTGAGGACTATTATTCTGCTGCGCGGAACCGAGGAAGAGCTGATGACGACATGGTTTGATCTTCGGCTGACCAATCAGCAGAAAGGGGCGTTTCATTCCCGCCCACATCTGGAGATCAAATATTCAAGCTTCGAATAATCGACTTTTCTACCTCTGAATGCAAAAACGAAAAATCAAGCCGACTTTTTCGATTATTTTGAAAAGATGAAAAACTAAAAAAAGGACTGGTTTCTCGTTTTTCTATTTTGAATATTAAATCAAAAATCAAATGAACGAATGATACACGACCATACACTGCTTCTTTTCTCACAATGCATTTTAGATTCTAATTTTGACCGCCTGTGAAAAGGGTCAAACCATAGATATTACCTGACAAGGTCAAGAAAATACGCTAGAAATCCCCGCTCTTCATATGCACCGTTCAGCTGAATGATAATGCGTCGGCCCTGCTGCCACATATCCAGATTTAAATGCAGATATTTCGTTCAGGAGCATATTCTTCGTCAGGTAGCTCACCTGTGTGTGTCTTTTCAGGGTAATGTTGCATGCGCTGGCTGGGCCTCCGCAAATGGTCGTCGAGCAGCGGCGCTCTTCCGCCTGACCGCTGGAGGCGCTCGAGTGCGAGATGACGTCACACGCGAGAAACTGACCGCGCAGCGCAGAGCCAAGATGGCGGCAGGAGACGCTTGATATTTGATGAAGGTAATAGACGAAAATTGTGTTTGAATGAATGAAGTTACGTTTTATCACGACCGTATGTGGCTTTAATGGTTTGTTTTTCAGTTGAAGGCGCTTCAGTTTATCTGAATTATATACTGTGAATCACTAATAGTGTTATAAGTTTCGCTGGTTAGCGTGTTAGCATAGAGGATAACAACAACAACAAACACACGTTCATATTCACTCAAATACACGTTAAAACACAAACACACGTTCATACAGATTTATATACACACTAAAACACACAAACAGACACAACCACACACACTAGTAACACAATGTGTTTCTATTTACAGTTGCAAGACGTTTATGAACCCTTTTACAGCCCAGCCAATCATCACTCACTGTCCTCAACAAAAGAGTGAAAAGTACAATATGTTGTGTGTTATTAGTGTAGTCAAATTGTGTGTTTCTATAATTGTGACTTAAATGAAGATCAGACCATAGTTTGAGTAAAATATGTTCAAAGGGTTCACAAACTTATTCTTGGCACTGTATAACCTGCGCGCGCGTGTGTGTGTCTGTGCGCGTGTGTGTGTGTGTGTGTCTGTGTGTGTGTGTGTGTTGAGTGTGTGTGTGTGTGCGTGCGCGTGTGTGTGTGCG